GAGAGAGAGAGAGAGAGAGAGAGCGAGAGAGAGAGAGAGAGAGAGAGAGAGAGAGAGAGCGAGAGAGAGGCGAGAGAGCGAGAGAGAGAGAGCGAGAGGGAGAGAGCGAGAGAGAGAGAGCGAAAGAGAGAGAGCAAGAGGGATATGTGTAACATTTCTTTTAATCTGTCTACATACATTTTAAGAAAAATTTATGCATAATAATATTTTCACCTAAAATTAAGAATTACAACACATATACAATACAATTCTAATTAGTGATAATAGAAAATATGTTACTTATAAAACTACACACTATTAATTTCAGATTTGGAAAATAAAATTCAACCTTCAACACACAAAATTTTTTGTGATGTTGCAATTATAAATACACACAATAACTACATATTGATACTGAAGTTACTTTGTTCCATCTCCTCCATGTAAAATATTGTATACCAGCATTTTTCTGTGCCTGATGCTTCACCTCAAAGACGGTAGTCTTATGATATAAAATCTATTACTTCTAAAACTTTGTATTATTAAGTCCATAATTTGAATCTGTATATACCCGCACAGGGTGCGGGCCGGTCACCTAGTACTACTTAATGTACTTCAAACCATTAATTTCATGGGAAAATTTGGAAGATACACTTATTTAAGATTTTAACTAGAGTTGTTACCCGCACGTTCGTGCGGGTATATTTTTCATTTTTAAAAATTTATTTAATATTAATGTAAATATTTGAAATATATAATTTATATTTTTATGTTATATATTGTGTAAATTTATAATCTAATTGGTGTAGGTTTTTATTCAACATTATTAATATATAATATTCTTTAAATTTTTTACTTTGAAATTTATAAAATAGTATAGGATTCTTTTTTTGTTATTATAGTGAAATTTTAATTAATATTAATGTATAATAGTATGATATTATTAATTACGAAATTCATTATTATGTTATTTAATAATAAAATATTTAAACTTTTAGTAAGATTTTGTTAGATTTTCTCTCAACCGATTCTGTTATAACTAAAAATAGAATGTAAATCTATTATTTTCAGAATATATGATATATATTTGATTGATTAACCTATTTAATATGTCATACTAAGTAATAAATGAAATGATCCTATATGACTTCTTTTTAGTAGATAAAAATAGTGACTCTATTTTAATAGAGTAGATTTGAAAACTACAATTCTATAAATGTAAAATGACTAAATTATCCAATCTGAAAAACTGAAATTATTATAATATATTTTGTTCATTATAATTATGAAAATGTTTAAATTAATAATTTCAACAAGAATAAAATTATTTAGTTTTTAGTATCTACCCAAAATCTTCGTAAAATATATTTGAAAGTTATTTATTTATAAAGAAAGCAAACGTCTCATCTATCTTCTCTTTAATTAAATGGTTTTTGTTCTCCATTTTCTATCTAGCATCTTCTCCTTCCTCTCATCCCAAGTGTGTATATATTCACTCATTTCCTTAGATTATATCTATCAATTTAGAAATGGGTTCTCTCTTGATGACAAACTTACATTTACTGCATCTAGCTTGTTGTTTTGCTTTGAAAATAGTTCTGCTTTTGTGTTCAATAGAATAAGAGGCTCTATTTCTTCATTGTACAACTTATTTCGGCATTTGGTTTGCCGTAAACATATGCAATGATATCTGAGAAAACACAAGAGCTCATCAAAGGATGAATTGGACAGAGAAATAGTGAAAGAAATAGTTAAATATAAGAATTTTTTGTGATTTTCTCGTTAAGTTCCTAGTTGTATTTAGATTTTAAAAAACACTAAACAAAAACAACCTAAAACACATAGTAATTGATGAGTTAAATAAAAAAAAAAAAACAAAAATACTACTATACACAAAGATAAACTGACGAATATTCCGTTAAAAAAAATATAAGCTTATATTTATCTTTTTTTTGCTGTTGACAAGCTTATATTTATCTTTAACATAAATATTATTATTATTATGTTTTTCATTTATGTTCTATTTATCAAAGTTATAAATATGAAGAAAAATGGCTTTTCACATCTGTAGTTTTCAGAAAAAATAAAATATGAAATGTATTTTTCAAAATCTTAAACTAAAATAAGATATTTTTCAAAGTATCCCTAATTTATTTTACTTTTGCTATCCCCGTACGTAAGAAATAATTATGGGGTACAGGTATAGATTTCCGCAGGCTTAGCGGAAGAAGTTGTATAATCGACATATATATTTATAAAAATCTAATTTATAATAATCAATTTGGTTATCTATGACATATTTTTGAATGAAATCTATGACATATTATCACCAAGATACATTTATTTTCCGGTAATTTGTTAAAACAAATATGTGATTAACAATGTTGAAGTAATAAAATAATGTATGAAAACAATCCGCGATACCGTGCAAATAGGGAAAATATATATAGTGAAATATCACATAGTGATCTATACTATTATATAAGAAGTAAATTTGTTTAGTTGTCAACTTCTCCTTGATTTTAGGAAAAAAAAATTATTTAAAATTATTTAAATAATTTCATATACAATTTATTAAATTTATACTATTATATAAGAATTAAATTTGCTTAGTCGTCAATCTATACTATTATATAAAAAGTAAATTTGCTTAGTTGTCAACTTCTCCTTGATTTTAGGTAAATTTTTTTATTTACATTATTTAAATAATTTCATATACAATTTATTAAATTTATACTATTATATAATAATTAAATTTGCTTAGTCGTCAACTTCTCTTTGATTTTAGGTAAATTTATTTATTTACCTTATTTAAATAATTTCATATACAATTTATTAAATATACTATTATATAAGAATTAAATTTGCTTAGTTGTCAACTTCTCCTTGATTTTAGGTAAATTTGTTTATTTACCTTATTTAAATAATTTCATATACAATTTATTATTTAATAAAAACGAATTTAAGTTAATAATATTATATTTTAGAAAATATGTTAATTATTTTGTTTTAAATTTTTATCTTAAAAATATATTTTTCTATTATAAAATTCAAGTGCATTTACT